GGTTCACTCTCAAAGCATTCCTTGAATCAGGAGCGGTATTGAGATCCTGGGACATGGCTGCTGGATGAACACAGGCTCATTCACCAGCTCAGTGCCAATTCAGGTCCCTCCCTTGGTGGTTTTACAGCTGCCAAATATTTTAAAAGTCGCATTTTCATCACTGTGCGTTGCTGCCCAACTCATCAAATCTTGGGTCTTTTTAAGGAAGCTTTGGGAGCAGCCACAGGGAGGAGTGTGCCCCCATTGATGAGGGAAAAGAGTCAATATGAAAAGTTATTGTATTTTCCATTTGGTGCCCCACTTGACAGGGGTTATGTGACTCTGCCTGGCTCCAGAGCAGTGGGATGCAGATTCTGGTCAATAAAACCCTGAGCCCAGCTCCAGGGCTGTGAAGGAGCCCTTGGCTTGGGGCAGAAATCCTCACAGTGACAGTGCCAGGGGAGAGCAGCGGGGAGGAACCGGCTGCAGGGAGCTCCTGCTTCAACCTTGTTTACTTTAAACCTCAGGGGAATTCGTGTTTTGGGAAGCCTCGAGTCCTGCCCATCCCAGGGTTTAAACAGCACTTGGAAAAGAAGGTGGTGTCGTTATTAAGAAAATACCAAATGTCCACCCAAATGGACAATTTGATGGAGTCAGAAATGTGAAATATGGTGAAAAACCTACCCAGGCACAAAGGTCTCCATCCTCAAAGTGAGAATATCTTAAATTCATCTCTGCAGCTGGTTCCTCTGCCCATCAGGGTGGAATGTGGTGTGAAAAAGCTGAAACAACACTAGCAATATGTGGCTGAGGCTAGGTCAAAAACCTGGAGGAAAATCCCCATTTCCTAAATGGGCGAGAGGTGGGAAATGCTGCCCCAGGGCTCCCAGCTCCCCTTATCCCCACAGAAATCAGCAGCAGAGGAGGAAGGCGGCGCATCCTCCCTCTGTGCAGCCCCAGTCTGTGAGGAGAGTGGTTTCAGGTGGCCTGAACAAGGAATGTTCCAGTGTGAGGAGGATTTTGAACTTGTCAGGAGTGTGATCAATGAGAGTCTCGTTGGCTGGGGTCAGAAATCGATGTGAGATGGCTCTGTGGCTCCATGGGGGATTGCAGTGGTTGTCCAGGGAGGAGGAGAGAAATGCAGACAACAGGGTTTTCCTAAAAGCACCTAAAATTTCCCACTTTGACCACATGGGAGTTACTCAGTAACAGTGGCAGCAAAGCTTGACTTGTCCCAAGGTCAAAGAGGGACAGACCAGCAGCCATAGCAGGGTTTCATTGTTTTCCCTCAAAACTTGTGGGATTCAGGCAAAGAGAAGAGTAAATGTTAGAAACAAGGCACCTCAGATTTTTGTCTGCCTTCTGACTGTGGAGCACTTTTGTTTCAGGGCTTTGGGTGCTTTTTTGTGCTCTCCTGGCTCTGGGAAAGAAGACTTTAGGGAAAACACCACAGTTTTCAAGGCACGGGATAAAATCACAAGAATTGACCAAGGCTTTTGTGAGTCCGTGGCTGGAATGAGCTGAAGGTCAGTCAGAAAAGAGGTTATCAGAGGAGGGGGTGAATGTGATCGTTTTCCCCTCCTGGAAAGCCAGAAAGGAGGGAGAGAGTTTGGATATCTGATACCTCCAGGTCTGACCTGTCTCTAATGGAAATGCTGGCAGGAAGCTCATAACATTTATTAGACAGCAACGAGCAGCTTTAATAAAATCAGAATGCACACAGCTTTATTACAGACTTTGGGAAGGAAAAGGCCTGAAATGGCTGGTTAAGTACCAAGGGTTGCACACCCCGGGGCTGCTGAAAGGGATCCCCTCCTTTATGGAGTGGTGCAGGGTTCATTATTCAGCTTCCTTGTGAACCCTCCGGTTCAGACCCCGGGGAGGCCCCACACGCCTCCAGGATGTTTTCCATGTGCACAGCCCCCAGCTCCAGCCCCAGCTGCTCCTCCTCCCTGCTTTTTGTGCAGAGGGGGTGGGAGCCAGCCTGGACCTCTCCATCATCAGCCACTGATGGCTTGCAGGGAGAGCTCGTCCCTCTCCAGCACTCCCAAATTGCTTCCAGCTCCCAGCTCTGCTCTGGAGATGCCCTGGGCAGGCAGCAGCCAAGGGAGGTTTCTCTTGGGGTGCAATAAGGTCCTGTTGTCATCAGCCATGTGCTGAAACCATCCACTGGCCCCAGGATGAAGGCTCTTCCCATAAGTAGCAGGTTTTGCATCCTAAATCCAGTGCTGCTGTGCCTCAGCACAGAGGGAAGCCTGCCCAGCACTGTGGTGTGGCTGCAGGCCGGGATGGATCCAGCTTGGGAACTTTCCCTCCTGGTGCTGCTGGGTTTGTAGCAGTGCCTCAGGCATTGCCTGGTGTCCCCACTTTAATTCTGGCTCAGCTCAGCTGCCTTCTGCCCCCTAAAGCTGCTGTTCCAAGGGGTGCTGTGGGGCACGGGACCACTGGCAGTGGTGATTTTGTGATGCCAGACACCCATGGGAAGGTGGCTGGTGAGCTCTCAGGATTCAGATCTCATCCAGCAGCAACCCTGCTTGCTCTCACTTTGGGAAACCTCATGACAACTCCTTGCAGTGCAAACCAGGACTTTAAACTGCTTTTATTTAACTAGGTATTTATTTAATCCCACAAAGTTTTCAAACCTCTTTTTTTTCCTCCTGGAGGGAAACTCCTTCCCGTGGCTGTGCCAGCGGGCAAAGGATCACAGCAGAGATCCCACCCGTGTGCACGTCCCCAGCAGACTGGAAGTGGCTTATTTTTCTTCCTTTGCAGTGAAAACAGAATTGAAAAATCCCTACAACAAAAATTCCCCGAGAGGCCATTTTTATTCCTGGTATGTCCATTTGCAGTCGGGGCTGTTGTGCAATCCAGACCGCCCCGGATGGAGCAGGTTTGGGTGTAACCCTTTGGGTGCCAAGGGCCAGCCCTGTCTGTGGGTCACCCTGGGGTGATCCTGCCCCTCTGCTCAGCCCTGTGGGGCACATCTGGAGTGCTGAGTCCAGCTCTGGGCTCCTCAAGATGAGAGGGAGCTCCTGGAGTGGAGGCTGTGGAGATGAGGAAGGGCCTGGAGCATCTCCGTGCCCAGGAAAGGCTCAGAGAGTTGGGCCTGGTCTGTCTTGAGAAGAGATGGCTGAGAAGGGATCCCATCCATGGGTGTAGGTATCCAGAGGGAGGTGTCAGATGGACCAGGATGGACCAGGCTCTGCTCAGCCTCAGTGGTGCCCAGCAATGGGACAAGAGGAATGGGCAGAAAATTATGCCTGGGAATTTCCACCTCCACGTGAGGCTGAGCTTCTTCCCTGGGCAGGTTGTCCAGAGAGGCCGTGGGGTCTCTCCCTCACTGGGGATATCCCAGACCCCTCTGGACACACTCCTGAGCAGAGTGCTCTGGGGTGACCCTGCTGGAGCAGGGAGGTGGCCTTGGGTGATCTAATTATCCCTTCCAACCTGAATGGGCCCGTGGTGGAGAGGAGAGGGGGTGAAGCCCAAGCCTGCGGTCCCACAGGGGTTCTCTGTGGGGAGGGAGGGAGGGCAGCAGCCCTGCCAGCATCAGGGAGGCAGCAGGGGTGGCCAGGGGGGTGGATGGGAAGGCTCTTGAGCCACTTCAGAGCCGTCTGGTTCCTCTCATCCATGGGAGCAGAGCAAACCCCCCGGCAGCTGCGGTGCCTGATGTGAAGCAGCAGCACTTTCAGGCCATGACCTCAGTTCTCATGCTTGGGGACAATCTTGGTGAGCCCCTTCCCCACTTCCCACCCTGCAGCAACCCCCTTGGGCAAAGCTATCAGAGGCTGGATGTAAATCCATCAAGCACCAGCCCATAATTAATTAATTTGCGTGTTTTGACTCCTTCCCCTCGTAGCTCCCGATTAAAAGCTTATTTAAGGGGTCACAGACTTCTTCAGTTCCGGAGGGATTAAATGTGGGAACAACTGTAGCTCGTATGTGGGTAATTGCAATGAGGAAATGCTCCAAATTAAAGCTTCCTGCTAGTTCTGTCCAGTGGGAAAACCCAACAATTCTTTCAGAATGCCTTTAAAATCAGCGTCATATAGAAATACGTGTGTTTTCCTGTTGTGCTGCTTTGCCTGGAGAACACAAGCGGCTCAGAAGAGACACACGAGCGTAACTAAAGCAGAGGAATTCAGCAGAAAAGGGAAAAGGAGCCAGCGTGCCCTGGAGCTGGTTTGGAAGCTGAGGCTCAGTAATCGCTTGTGAAAGCAGAAAGCCACGGCCCCGCGCGGTGTGGGACGGAGCCGCGTGGGAAAGGCAGAGTTTGGGAAAGGCGGAATTTCAATGATTCCTCATTCCTCGGGTAGGAAGTTTAACCCATCCGTGCCTCGGGGAGGGGCTGGCAAAAGGACAAACCCTGCTGGCTCTCTGTGCCTCCACATACTCTGCTTCCTGCACAGGCAAAACTTGTCTGCTTTTCTTCAAAGTTAATGTGTTAAAGTCCCGGCTGGGGGGTGCAGGGAGCTGGAGCAGCGCCAGCAGCTCTGCTCTCACACACCACAAGATTTCGTTTTCCTCCCCAGCATGAGATTGGGGCTGTGCTGCTCGTTCAGCCATGGGAAAGGTGCTGGGGCTGCTCTGTGATGGCAGCCCCTGGTGAGAGCCCCCAGCAGAGCCCCCAGCTCCCAGGGGACGCCTCCACTTCCCAGGATTTGCTTTCCCAGCCCTGGAAGAGTTTTGCAGCCCTGAGCCCCTGGGCCTTTGCAAGCATGAGGCTGTGGCGAGTTCAGTGCAGAGACTGAGGGATTTGTCCCTGCTGCCAGCCTGGAGGGGCAGCAATCCAGGATGCCCGAGGGGAATGCCAATGCAGGAGCTCAGGACAGGCTTGGGACGGGCACTCTGCCCATCACTGAGCCACCCTGCCCGAAATCACAGAATCCCAGACTGGTTTGGGTTGGGAGGGACCTTAAAGCCTTTAAATCTCGTTCCACCCCTTGCCATGGGCAGGGACACCTTCCACTATCCCAGGCTGCTCCAAGCCCTGTCCAGCCTGGTCTGGGCACTTCCAGGGATCTGGAGACAGCCACAGCTTCTCGGGGCAGCCTGTGCCAGTGTCTGCTGTGCCAGCTGGAAGCTGGGATGGATAACCCCAGAGCCGAGGGCTGGAGAGTTTGATGCGGAGAGCGGCACTGTCCCCACCGGGACACCCCTGTCCGCGCCGCCCATCCCGTGCGCTGCGGATGGATGGGCACGGCGACAGGGACAGGGGGCTGTGCCTGCTCCGCACGGAGGATCTGGGGACACGGAGCCCTCCTGCAGCTCCCCCAGGCTGCCGCCGGCGAGTCGCGGCTGCGTTTCCTCGGGAGAGGCGCTCCTGGAATTGCTAATGCTCCAGCCCGGAGGTGCGGCATGCGGAGCGCTGCAGCCGCAGCATCAGGTACAGCAGCAACGCCGCCGTTAATTATTGACTCTCTCTTCAATTATCAGCCCTGATAAGGCAGCACCCCCCTCGACAGCCCGGGCGGCGCTTGGTGCTCGGTGTTTTCTGGGAAAAAGAACTATTCCGTGGAAAAGTAACTCGTTTTGTGCACCGGGATTGAACTGTCCTCGCAAAGGTCATCCGAGAGCCGTGGGCTGCTCTGCTGGAAAATCAATCCCTCTTTTGTGCTTCTTGGTTTAAACTTGTGTTTGCTTTGTGAGCAAGGTCACAGCTCAGCTGACCAAGTTTGTGGCTGCTGGAGCAGGCTGGGGTCCAGCCACGCTGCGCTCGCTGCTCCGAGCCCTTGGCATGGGAGAAGATGCTGTGGAGGGAGGCGAGAGCTGCTGCTCCCCGGGGGGTTTGTGGGTGCCAGCCTGAGCAGGTAACCTGACAAAATGCTTTGCTAACCAGTTTTTCCTTTCACCACCAAGTGCTGGAGCTGCTGCTGCAGTGCAGGAGAAGAGACAGGCAGAGCTCAGATCGTGTTGTGTTACAGCTAACCAGACTGTGCTAACGTGCTGGTGGGTTATCTCGTTGTTTATAGGCTCAGGGTTAACTGTTTCCCAGTTAAAATTACTAGCAAGATGCTCTGGGAGAATGGATTTTGTGGGGATTTGTGGTATGTGGTTGAGTTCATTTGTAATTTAAATGTTTGGGGGTGTCGTGGTGGCTGGGGTGGATGGGGGAGCTGCTCACATTGCCTGGCAAGTGGGATGGAGTGAGAGAGGGGTTAAATGTGAGTGTAAAGAGCCAGTGCCTGAGTCCAGGCTGGTTAAAAAGACAGTGCATTGTCCCTGCCCCCAGGAATAAAACCACTCTGCTCTGTGCTGTAGCCTTCCCACATATTTGGCTTCTCCGTTTCCATTTCTGTATGCACTTATTCCTGCCCTGAGAAAAACAGCCTAATTCCAATCTGGATTAATCCTCCCCACTGTGTAGCTAAGGTAAGAATCAGCGATGCATGGGGAGAAAAAGAAATGTTCTTCAATTTCATTTACTAGAGAAAACTCAGCAAGTGTAGAACCTGGCAGAGGGTCAGGCTAACAGGTTTCAGCAGGATGGGGATGCACCTAAAACTGTTACTCTGCCTCAAATTATGGACCCTGGGTGTAGTGATCTGCTACTTCTGGCAGATGACTTTTTATATTTTAATCTCATTTTTCTTGGGGACAGGCATGGGAGAGCAGCTGTGGGGTCCAAAGAGGCACATTTTTGGCTCTAAGCCATCTTCTCCATGCCTGGGCTGCCCCGGAGGGGGCAGGAGAACATCAGCAAGCTGGCTGGGGACATCCAGCATCCTTTTACGAGGCGATTTTGAAGTAGATTGGTCAAAGGAGAGTAGTTGTAGTATCAATTTGGGCTGCAGAGTTGGGACCCAGCCAGCTCATAAATGATCCAAATGCAATTATCCAGATATTAAAAACCATCCTATTCACTGGCTTTCCCCCCCTCCTTCTGAATAAATGACCTAGAAGAGTGGAGTGTAGCTGGTCAGGCTGGAATTGGCTGCAGTCGGAAAATTAAGGGGAAGAAACAACATTTGAGAAAGAGGTTGGTGTTTGTTTTGGCACGTGCTGTTCTCTGGCAGGAGGAGACAGAAGGAGTTGTCCCTTGTAGAAGGAGTGTGGTTTATTGGAGAGCACTTGAGCAGCTTTCCAGGAGCTCACAAGGTGCTGGGTGGGCATCAGCGTGACCCTGTAGGAGCTTTGGGGAGCTTTGATGTTCTCCTTGGGCTGGGACCTTCCTGATTTCCCATCAAGGGTCTACATTGACCACAAACATGCCCATGGGATTGACAATTGATTGTTTCTTTAAAAGGTTTTGATCTTTCAAAGTATTCATTGTAGAATCATAGAATGGCTTGGGTTGGAAGGGACCTTGAAGATCACCTCATTCCATGGGCAGGGACACCTCCCACCATCCCAGGGTGCTCAGAGCCCTGTCCGAGCTGGCCTTGGACACTTCCAGGGATGTGGCAATGTCCTGTGGTAACAATACAGCAGGATCTGACTTCATTTTTTAGCTGGTCTTTGGTAAAGGTCAGCTGGAGCCCCTTCCTGGGGAGCTCTGGATCTGTGGTCACTGCTGAAACCCTCGCTGAGGCAAAGCTCTGCACGCAGAAAATGAGTTCAGACTCTGTTGTTTTGGTCCATGAGATGGGTGTGAGCTGGGGCTGGCTCAGCACAGGCTCTGCACTGCTGGTCCTGCCCTGAGGGTGTTGCATAGCTCAGGGATGCACTGGAGGAGCAGGGATGGACTTCCAAGCAGCTGTGGGGCCGTCTCTGGCCAGGAACCAAACCAGATACTGTAAGGAGAATCATCAACAAACAACCTACTGTTCAGGAAACTCCCCCGTCATCCTCTGTAGCAGAAATTGAAACCAGACCTTCTCACTTGGAGCGTTGTTGTCCTTCTCACACAAGCCAGGGAGCCTCAAGCTGTGATGTCCAACTGCTCCAAGCTCCTTCACCCTTCCCTGCCTCCTCCCTGGGCCTTTCTAGAGGATCTGGAGGTGAGAAGTTTCACCCAGGACCTTTCTTGGACATTCCCAGCCTTAATTCCTCGTGCTCCAGGAGGGTCTCGTCCGTGCCCACGTGATGGGAAGGAGCTGGAAATGTGTTACCATTTCTGGTACCCAGAAATGATGTGAAGATCTCAGTGTTGGCTGTGGTAGATCTCCCCCTGAAGTTGTTCCCTGAGCTGAAAGCAATTTGTCTGTGGTCCAGTGCAATTTGGTGAAGCACATCCCTGCTTTTAAACAGTAGGGATGTGCTCTGAAGTAATGGCTGTCATTTGAGCGAGATTCAACATAAATTTTGAATCTTTGCTCATTATGGATTTTAAAATAAAGGCAAACCAGTCATTTCTGTGTGTAGTTTATAACCCTGTTGTCAGGGAGCTTTTATCAAGTTGGATATCTCCAGCTCTCAGGAGTCTGTGCCATCGATCTCAAGCCATCCCAAATGTCTGTCTGTCCTTGCTGGCACTCAAACCCTCTGTAATGCAGGGGATGTTTTACCAGGATCAGCTCCCTGGGATGTGTCTGTCAAGCACAAGTTGTTGCCTCTGGAAAAGGAGCTATTGATTTTAGCAGCTTCAAAGCCTTGGACACCACTGGGCTGCAGAGGGTGGGAAGTGGGAGGGGGGTGGCCTTTGAAGGCTTGTAAGGCTTTAAGGAGAGATGAAGTTCATATGGCTTTGTTATTTTATTAAATTGGAAGTATCCATTTCTTTTTTCAAGAGTGAAGCCACTCCTCAGTCCTTGTCAGAAGATGCTTAAGTGACAGCCCAGTTAGACCCCACCATGGAGAAGACAGAAGGTATGGAGCCTACAGGATGTTTATTTCTTCATTTATTCCTTGAAAAAATACCCCAACCAAGCCCTGGAGTGATTTCCTTACCAGAAATGCTGTAAATAACCTGTTCTGTAGATGTGGGGCTGGGTAGGCAGACACAGTGACACCCATTTAGTGGTGATTTGCCTCAGTGAGGAGCTGTGCCTGGAGCCGAGCCGGTCACCTTGGGATGCGTGTTCTGCATGGCTGCGGCTCCGAGCAGCAGCCTCTGCCCAGAGCCGTCATTTTCAAGGAATAATTTGTGACCTGGTGGCTGCAGGTGAAGCGAGGCAATGATTTTCCTGCGTGGTGTGTGCTGCTTACGCTGCTGAAAAGTTCGAACCAAACCAAAAGCCTTGAAGAATGTCATTGTCATAGATTGATCCCACATTCTATTATTGGGCTGGATTTATTATCCACCAGATTTATTATCTGTACCTACACAGCTCTGCCTGCAAAGCCTGCTGTTTGCTTAATTGCCAATTAGAGCTATGATTTCAGGAAATTTTTGGCTTCCTTGGTGCAACAATTACCTGATGCACCTCTGGAAAACCAGATCAGAGCTTGGTGCGTGTCACTGTGTGTCTGCGCAGCTTCACCACGATAATGAGCTGCCTGCCCAAAGCTGAGATGAAAAGAGAAAAAACATCTCCCCTTTGCTCTAAACAATTTTTTTTCCAAAATTCGATAATTTCTTCTTTTTCTGGGGGGGTGTTTCAGCAGATGGCCAGCCGCCCAAACCTGACGGGGACCGGGAGCAGCCCCGCAGCCTCCCCTACTCCCTGGAGACACCCTACGGCTTCCACTTGGACCTGGACTTCCTCAAGTACGTGGACGACATCGAGAAAGGCAACACCATCAGGAGGGTGCACATCCACCGCAGAGCCAAGCAGCCCAAATTCAACACCCTGCCCCGAAACTTCAGCCTGCCCGAGAGCGGCTCCCGCGGCTGCTCCACCGCCGCTCCCAGCAAGAGCTGGACCTCCACCTGCTCCTTCCCTCAGCGAAAGGCGTCCCTGGGCGAGGAGCCGCCGCGGGCCCTGCTGCCGGCCGGGGCAGCTCCCGAGGAGCCGAGCTACCGGAGGAAGGCGCTGCTGGCGGAGGCGCGGCGGCAGGCGGAGCTGGGCTGGCCTCAGGCGGAGCTGGCCCGGCCGCAGGACGCGCTGAGGGCGCGGCCGCAGCTGCTGCGAGCCTCCAGCATGCCCGAGGCGCTGCCCCCCGGCCACAGTCCCCCGGCGGCACCCTCGCCTCTCCGGAGCCCTCCGCAGCCCTGCCACGGCCCCCAGAGCGCCTCCCGGCCCAGCTCGGAGGGCAGCGGCTCAGCCCCGCCGCGGGAGATGGAGCGGGACGGCTCCGCGGGGCAGCCCGGCGGGGCTCTGCCCCTACAGCCCCCCTGGCAGAGCCAGCAGCTGCAGGTGCTGGTGGAGAGCGGGGCCGAGGAGGGCGATGCCGCCGATGGCTCCGACCTGGCCAGGGCTGAGGCAGCGGCATCGGCTGCCCTCCGGCTGGCGGAGGAGAGCGTGAGCCCTGCGGAAAGGGGGCTCGGTGTGAGTGAGATGGATCTGAACGTGCTGAAGGAAAGTGAGGAGAGGAATGTCCGAGCTGGAGGGGACAAGGAGAGCAGTGCTCCCCAGGCCCCTGAGCATGGAGAGCCCGGCGGGGTTGCGGCGCTGAAGCAGCAGGTCGCTGAGCTGGAGGAGCAGCTGGCCAAGAAGAAAGAGGAGCTCGAGCAGGTCAGGGCAGTGCTGGAGCAGCAGGATCGTGAGATCCAGGAGAAGGAGAAGAGCATTAAGCTGCTGGCCAGCTCCAAAGCTGAGCTGGAAGAGCAGCTGTGGCAGGAGAGGGCCAGGGAGGCTGAGCTGCGGAGGCGCACGGGCAGTGGGACCTTGCAGTGCCTGGATGCTGCTGTGAACACGGAGCTCTCGCAGGGGACAGGGCTCCGGCAGGCCCAGGACAAGGGCGTCAACGTCAATATCCCGCTCTCCACCAGATCCATCGGCTGCGGCACCCTCAGGGCAGAGAGCACCCAGGCCGGGGAGGCGTGCAGGGAGCAGGGCCCGGCAGGCGCTCGGGCAGAGGGACGTGCTGGTGAGGCCAGCGTGGAGGCCGGACCTCCTGCTCCTTGCCTCAGGCAGCTGCAGATCCACGAGCACCCCGGAGACCACAACCAGAACCACCAGAACTCCCTCGGCAAGGCGGGCTTTGGAGAAGATGAACCTCGGGAAGGGCTGCAGGAGGAAGGGGCCCCTGGCCACGAGGAGCTCCCGGCTGTTGACCCCATTGGCCAATATGTGAAAAAGATCCAGGAGCTCCTGCAGGAGCAGTGGCTGTGCTTGGAGCACGGCTACCCCGAGCTGGCCAGCGCCATCAAGCAGCCGGCCTCCAAGCTCAGCTCCATCCAGAACCAATTAGTTAATTCCCTGAACTCCCTGCTCTCTGCCTACTCCTCACAAGGCCCTGTGGATAAGGAGAATTCCAACACGCACTATCAACAGTTGGGTAAATAATACTGGCACAGGCTTCGATGTGTCCAGGCCAAATGTTTTCCCATTTATTCCAGCGTGGAGCAGGGGGGATGTGGTGGAACAGTTGTTGTCAGTCAGATCAGGAATAGTCTCAACAAAGCATGATGAGAGAGGCAAATCTCTGCACAGCACAGGTTATGGATCTGACATGGAAAAAAGCAAACAAAATGATGTAGGAGCTCATAAAGCAGTGGCTCGTTTATATGCAGGATCAGCTTCCAAAAGCTGCCACACTGGTGGCTGTTCCATCAAATAAACATTCTTTTTATTCGGGTTGCACATCTCAGTTTGCAAGAATATGAGGCTGGTGCTTATCTGGGGTAAATCAGTGTGGAGTTCTCCAGAACCCAAACCAGTCAAAATAACTGAGCAACCAGGCTGGGAAAAGACCTATCCCCACTGACAGACCTTCATCTAAAATAATTTTAGCTTATATGAAGATGGGAATCCAATGCCTGTTCTCTGGGGGAGGGAGGGAAGGGACTTATTCCTTAATATATAGACACTATTCAAAGTCCAGTGGAAAAACTCATCCATGTAGTATTATAGCAGATTTATGTAGGAATTTTCCAATATGTTGCTACTGGGGAAAAAAACCCCAAAAACCAAACCATTAAAATCTACTTATATTCGTAGGACAAATACATAATTCCCAGTCACTTCCTTTATATTCCCAGTGACCTGGAGACGTTTGAGATCTGTATTAAAGGTGGCAGGGCAGGTTCAGGTTGTGGCCAGCTGCCTCTGTAGTTTTGCAAGACATCAAAAGACTCTCCTAAGATGAAGTAAGATGCTTGCAATTATGATTTGTGGCTTGTTGCTCGAGGTTGGGAATAATGATTGCTAATTATGGCACATCTGCTTAATTAATCTATTATTTTGTATTTTGGTAGAAAACTCTCCAACCACAAGTCTTAAATCCATCATGAAAAAGAAAGGTTATGGTTTCCATGCAGGAGGCAATGGGACCAAAAAGAATCTCCAGTTTGTTGGGGTAAATGGTGGGTAAGCATCCATTCAGAAGACAAAAGCTGTCTTTTCACGTGGAATGTCCTCTGTATTGCTGGAGAAGTCATTCTTTTCCCCCTCTTTCCCCCTCCTGATTAAAAGGCCAGTTGAAACAGAGCCTCTTTTCTCCCTTCTTTAATGCAGCACTGATAACCCGTGAGTAACCCGGTTAAGGAAGGGTGGTGCAGTGTTCAGGGCAGCGGGGACACGCTGGGGGCTGACACTCTCTGCACACCTTCTCGTGGGGCCTCATCCCAAACCCAGCTGGGGAAGGTGGGAATACCCCATGGGAAGATTCCCTGGGAAGATTCCCACTGCCCTTGGTGGGTTTTGGAGGAGGCCAGCACTGCCTGGTGAGCACGCTGCCACTAACCTGCCCCACGCTCCAGCAAAGCCAGCAGCACTTGGTGCAGGGCCTGGGAAGAGACTTTTTTGGTAAATTAGGAATTACCTTGGGGTGAAGGAGACTTCAGGATGTGCTCCCCATTCCAGGTGTGTCCAGTATCCAGCACTCCTTGGCCTGTGAGCCGAGCAGAGGCAGCAGCTCCTGCTGAGGTGGTTGTGTGCTGGTGCAGGACACGTGTCACTGTCCCTGGGTGGGTGGGCAGCTGTGTGTGCCAGCCTGGGTGCTGCTTTCTGCTCACACCCTGCTGCCCTGACCTCCCAGTTGCTGGGAAATGCCAAATGGGTACAACTTGTAGGGACTGGAGGAGTCCTGGTTCCTTTGAAGAAAGTCATGGGGTCCATCCAAGTGAACATTCTGTTTTGTGGAAGATGTTATTAATATTAATACTTTTAGAGAACCAGAGGAGAGATCTCTATCAGGGCTGCTGGAATGATGGATTCAGCCCAAAAGACTTCAGCCCAAAAGCTGTGAAAAAAACACAGTTTTTGTCTCGTGCTCCTCGAGGCTGCCGATGCCACCTCGAGTCCCTCCTTGCCACGGGGGCCGTGCTGCTGCCACCCTGCCACCATGCCAGCAGCTCTCAGCCTGCCCGGGCTGTGTGTGATGGACATCCCTCCAAACCCTGCAGTAACCTTGCCTGCTGCTCATTAACTGCTTCTGCCACACTCCTGCTGCTTGAGGAGCCAAAGACAGACTAACCCTGACTTCGGCTGCGGCTCAGACCTTTTAACTTGCTGCTTGTCACTCTGTGCTTCAGCCAAGGCCCGTTGGGGGCAGTGAGCCTTGGTCAGGCCCGTGGCTGTGGCTGGGGAAGGAGGGAGTAACCTGTGGTGTCCTCAAATAGCTACGAGACAACATCAAGTGAAGAGGACACCAGCTGTGAGGACAGTGACACCGAGACCGAGGACAGAGCCGGGGACGTGGAGCCCGAGCAGGATGGAAGGGAAAGCAGAGGGCCTTCCTCAGGGGAGAAGCGTGAGGAGGACGATGATGATGATGATAATGATGATGATGATGAGCAGGAGGCATCAGCAGGAGCAGCTCCCTGCTCTCAGCACCAGGCTCACAGGTAACCATGACACCGGGTGGTGACTGACCCACGGGACTGCATGGCTGGGTTGGGGCTTCTTCTGCAGGAAAGGGGAAAGGCTTTAAAGAAATAAATATTTTCTGAGTTACCACAGAATCTAATGGGGATTGATTCAGGCCCTACACTGAGTCATGTCTGGTGAGTTAGCTCATTTCTCCCCTCTCATGGAAAATTTTTTGGTAAAGTTCTTTGCAGGTTCAGGAATAAGATTTTTTTTTCACCCCACCTTAAGGATTTTTGTAATAGATGAAATTGACCATATAAACCTGTGACTCTGGGCTTAAACCTCTGCTTAAGTGCTTGGCTTTGTACCTAAAATCTGTGTCAAGTCAATGGGACAACTTGTGTCCAATAATTTAAACACTTAAATGTGTTGAACATATTCCAACCTAATCTGCCTCTGTTCTCCTACTTGGTTCAATATCTCCTGTCCCATGGTGGATTTACAAGTCTTTTCCCTTTAGATGCAAACCCTCCGAAGATTTCCTTGCTGCCTGCCAGCTCCTCAGTGAACACCTCCCAGAAATCAGCAGCAGAAGCAACCAGCATCTGGTACAGATATTTCCCGGTCCCGTTTCGGACACGGTTCATGCTCTCTGTTCATGTTTTAATGGATGAGATTATCCCTGTGGCACATTGCAGGCTGTGCTCTGGGACAGCTTTGTGAGGAGAGGGGGGTGAGGTGACATCTGAGTCAGTTTTACAACAGCCAAAAAGAAAGGAAGAGAGGAGGGAAAAAACAAAAAAAAAAAGAAAGATGAAGGCTTTGTCTGGTTACTCATCCAAGTTACCACAGGAAATTCCTTTCCCCCTCAAGTTGTAGCAGCAATCACAAACCCGCAGGCTGAGTGCTGGCGGGGTGGGGCCAGGAGCTGGGGCAGCCACCGCTCTGCAGGGACGGTGACAGTGACACTTTGTGTTTGCAGCAGCCTGTGCTGGGCTCCATCTCCCAGGAGTGGTTCCAGGTGTCCAGCCACAAGGCTTCCAGGCCGGAGGTGGTGGCAGCGTACCTGGAGGCGCTGGGGGACATCCACCCCCAGCTCCTGGAGACCGTGGTGAACCTGCCCGACAGGAATGGCAACACAGCTCTCCACTACAGCGTGTCCCACTCCAACTTCCAGGTCGCAAAGCTCCTGCTGGACACGGGTAGGAACGGCCACTCTGCTCAGCCAGGGCTTCTGCTGGGCACGGGGTGCCAGTGGCTCTTGCCACGGGGTCGTGCTCCCATGAGGGATGGGTACACTGGGAACAGGGGGGCATGAACAGTCCCAGACATGGCAGACACTGAAGGAGGGCCAGACTCCTCCCAGGGAGATCAGTCAGGAGCTAAAGGAGGTGGGACTGAGGACCAGGAGCCACCTACCTGCAAGGGCCCCATCCAGGAGGCAAACATGGAGGCAGGGTCCATCCAGGAGAAAAACAGGGGCCCAGGATCCATCCAAAGCACCAGGATAGGGCTGAGGACCATCCAGGAGACCTGGTTGATCTCAAGACCAGCATCCTCCCCCACAGCTTGGTTCTGGGCCCATGGATGTAGTTGGGGGTCCCAGCTGCCATGAGGGCTCATCAGTGCCCTCATACACCTTGAGGGCTTTGCAGCCTGACTTTGGGATGGCTCAGGATCCAAAAGCATGTCCCTCATGGCCCCAGTCCAGGTGGGATGGGGTGGCTCCCCAGCTTCTTGCAGCAGCCAAAGCCACATGATGGCTTGGGGCAGGAGGATCAAACCCCTGAGAGCATAAGAAACTCCCCAGCACCGCAGAAAAACTCCCATGTTAAACTCTTGAACTTTCAGCTTGTGTTGCAGTGAAAGAACAAAAATCTCAGCTGAGCCTGTACAGGGCAAAAATGTGCTCGTGGTCTCAGAGAATAGAGGCACTTTGGCCTTTTCTCATGGGCCAGACAATCCATGAAATGTTTGGGAAATGGCAGATTATCATACCCATCTATAACCCGATTGTTGCCGCAGAGGCGCGGGGAGGGAAGGGTCTGAGGCAGGGAAGGGTTTGAGGCAGCTGCTTCCTCAGGGTGAGGCTGGAGCCGAGCCCTCACCCTCAGCCACGGCTCATTCCTCGTGGAGGAGCTGGAAATGGGCTCTTTGAAGTGAAAAATGAGTGAAATGAGGCCAGGATGTTTTCCAAGCCCGTTGGGTGATGGGCGTCTCTCTGCTGCTCCCTTGCCACTGGAGCCAAAGCAAACAGCCCACAGCTCCAACCAGCATGTGCTTGAGGCATTAATTATCCCCCTTTAATTTCTATTTGTTGTGGTCTTCAAAGTTAATTGAGTTGACCTCAACAGTTGTAATTAACTGTAGCACCAGGGGCCGTTTAATGCCGCGCTCACGAGTGCGGATATTCAAAACAGATAAATCCCCGTCCTGTATCATTATGGAATAACTCCTTTTCTGGGAATATGAGATGCCACATGTTATATGAGTCCCTCTCTCCTTCCTGTTCCCTCTGGGTGATCCCCCACGGGCTGGGTCCATCCCCTGCAGGGAAGTGCTGCCTGGACCTGCAGAACCGTGCTGGCTACACGGCCGTGATGCTGACGCCGCTGGCGGCCCCCGAGACCCGCCAGGACATGGAGGTGGTGATGAGGCTGCTGCAGGAGGGGGATGTCAACCTGAGAGCTGCCCAGGTGTGTGGCAGGGACTGCTGGGGGTGTCATTTGGGTTCCTTAGCTTCTGTGGCAGAGCCAGGCTGAGGCTCGGCTGCAGGAATGGGGTGGGAGTTGCTGCTTCCCAAACCTTCCAAAATAAATTTTATCTGAGTGTGGCCACCCAGGAGCTCCCTGGGAAGGGGTGTGACAGCTGGGGCAAATGGAGAAATTAAAAAAGAGGCTGGAAATTTTGCAGACAAGTTTTTCTGAGGCAAAAATCAGAAATGAGAAGCGAGGGGTGAACCCCAGGGCGTGGGAGCTCAAGGTTTGCTGGTGAGCTTCGTCAGAGTCACACATTTTGGTTTAGGGATGAGAGTGCCCTCACCCATCTCTGCTCCCACACTGCTGTAAAAGTTAGTCCAGACCTGAATAAACTGCCCAGGAGGATTTGGGGAAGCCACATGTGGGGGCAGCTGGGAGGTTTGGCCATGCTGCTGCAAGGACCTTCCACAAGTGAACGGTGCCTCTCACAACACCTGCTGAGGAGCCCCAGGGTGATTTGATAACAACGTGCAATAGGATGCAATATTAATAGGATTTATTATCATATATGTACCATGCAATAATAACATGCAGTGTTGTGATACCTGGTTATGGGATGTGGGTTAGGGGTGGGCTTGGCAGGGCTGGGTTAATGGTTGGACTTGGTGATCTTAGAGAGCTTTGAC